AAAAAAAAAAGTAATAACGTTAATTCCGTTATTGTTTGAATGATCATTAATATCATTAATACATTTGTAATGCTTCATTAATTATTTCAATAGTGATGTTCAATGGCGAAGTGATCGAACGTGCACCACCTTTATGGTGTGCAGCAGCTGCTGGTCATTTGGCTTTGGTTAAGTTGTTAGTGAAAAATGGCGCCCATGTGAATGCAACCACTAAAACAGATTCTACGCCCTTACGAGCAGCTTGTTTCGATGGCCAGTTGGATATTGTTAGATTTCTAGTAGCTCACGGTGCAGGTACGAATCATTCAAATATAATTTTCATGTTAATGTAATAAAATGAAATAATCTATCGATAATTTCATAATTTGACGAATTTTTAAATGTCATTTTAATTAGCTATTCTAAATTAAAATAATTATTCTTTTCTATTCTAAATTAATCAAATTTTATACAAAAATATTTTTCATATTTTTTTATTAAGTCAAGCATAAATTTTATTTATGTAAACCGAATGTCTTATATAGTGCTACATATTTAGAATTAATAAATATTAATTTACTAATTAATAACGACAAACTCTGTATGATTATAGACATTGAAATAGCAAATCATCATGGTCATACGAATTTGATGATAGCCTGTTACAAAGGTCACATTAAAATTGTTAACTTCCTACTTGCCCTGAAAGCAGACGTTAACCGAAAATCCATAAAGGGAAATACAGCTCTTCACGATTGCGCTGAAGGTGGATTTCTAGAAGTCGTTAAGGTTCTCATCAAACATGGTGCTAAAATGAACGTAGATTCCTATGGGGTGTCACCACTTCTTACGGCAGCAGCAACAGGTTAACATAGAATGTTCAATACACAATCCCAAATGTTCCTTTAAAACAGTTACAATTACTGAAAATAATTCTTTACAAAGTTCTTTTGATCTTACAGGACATAAACATATCGTTGACTATTTTATTAGTATATCGAATTTAGTGAGTCGGCAAGAATACATAAACGCATTAGAATTATTGGGCGCCACATACGTGGACAAATATAGAGATATGATAGGTGCGCTTGAATATTGGAAACAAGCAATGGATAAGAGGTTTGTGAAAGTTGTATAAATAAATACATTTAAGATCTATGTATAATATGTATTTTATGATATTTATAAATTATTAAAATATTTATAAATGACGTATCTTAGATATCGATGCAAACCAGTGATACCGAAACCACTACCACTACCTGTTGTAGTTGATTATGAGTTTGCGTGGGAAATTACCGACTCTGATGAATTGGATGGATTATTAAGTGACTTGGATGCAATGCGAATGCAAGCACTAGTAATTAGAGGGCGAATATTAGGACCGACTCACCCTGATACTAGTAGTTATATTCGCTTCAGAGGGGTAGCATATGCGAATAGTGGATTGTTCAGCCGTTGTATAGAACTTTGGAATTATGCTTTAGATATAAAACAGAGTATGTTAGGACCACTTGATCCAATGATTGAAAGTTTACTTTTTAGTTTTAACGAACTCTTTAGCTATATGATATGTAAACAATCAAAGGGTCAAACAGTATTGTCGGCTCAGAGGGAAGAATTCCTTAGGGTGTTTAAGAAAGCTGTATGTTTTAAATGTAATACGCAAAAAAATTTCATTATTTAACTATACATATATGTAATACACAGTACATATTATTTCAGGTATTCGAAGCGAAACGAGGTAGAGAATTGTTAGACAAAGGATCAGCTCGTGAACATGACATAACGTGCTTCAATAAGATTCTTGTAACTACTTTGCATCTAGCAAGTTTATTGACTCTTGAAATGCCAGAAGAAGATACTGCACAACATACTGCATTGCATAAAACACTTTATGAATTAGTTCAAATAAAAGACAATAATGTAAGTTAACATGAAGTAATGATTTAATGATTAAAAATGTGTTAAATATATGTAAATGATAAATTTCTTAATAAATTAATTTTTCTTATTTAGGATCGGAACGTGTTGCACTTAGCTTTTAGCGAAAGGAACACTGTACTTAAAATTGGCCCAAAATGTTTGAGTTGTAAGTTTCCTTCTTCAAACTTAATAAAGGCTCTCTTAAGAGTTGGCGCTGATGTCAGTGCAGTAGACACGGCTGGAAATACAGTATTACATCTTGCTGCTATGTTCCATCCATCACCTGATCTTATTACTATACTTCTTGACGCTGGTGCTCATATCGATACTGTTAATAAAATGGATAGCACATTTGAATCATTAATGCGAAATAAACGTCTATACGGTTCTACAATTCTACAAGTATGCAATCCTGTAAAATATGTTACACTCACCTGTTTAGCGGCCAGAGTAGTAAAAAAAGTACATGATATTAATTCTGTTCCGGCACAACTTCAAGCCTTTGTTGAAATGCATTAGTGCATAATACGATAGAAATTATAGGCTGTCATTTAGGATATGGACTATTAGAATTATCAATTTATAAAAATATTTATTTGTTATTTAAACGATGAGAAAAACCAATTATAAAATTGTTTCTTTTTTTGAAAGTGCAAAATTAATATTGGGATATTTTTTCCACTAAAAAAATTTATCCTCAACAAAATTTTCACTATTATGCACATAATAACACGATAAAACGGCAATGTATTTAAAGTACGTTATCATAAATTTTTTCGTTACGTTTGCATTATTTAATCGAATAACAGAAAATGTATATCTGTGTCAATTAGTACAGGAGTACTAATGGAGTTTGCTATTTGTTAATAGTCTTTATACATAAACAGCATTACAAGCCATAATATACACCTTGCATTCATAATATTTAATTCTAACTTGAGTTGCAGCATATTAAATTAAAATCATAGAAATTATTTTAATTTTCACTAATTGTATGAGTAAATAATTTATATCAAGAAGAGAAGTTATAACATTACATATTACATATATTGTTATAACATTATATATTACAATTCTTCAATGCTATTAAATTTTTATTTTGTAAACAACCGTAAGTGTTTCGTTTTTATTAGATATCGTTGGAACGTTTTCAATTTTTAGACTTAAGTACATATTTTATATTCATCTATAATGTTTAAGCTTATTTTTATTTAAAATGTGATAAACATACATATATTATACAGAATTTTATATATATATTTAAGAATTAAATATGGGAAATGTTTCTAGTAAGGTACTTTTTTTGAAAACAGAGATATGCACTTGACACTAAGTAGCACGACTGTAACAATTTACTCACACTAACATGTATAAAGTTTATAATTTCAATGAGATCTTGATGTAACATGAAAATTTTATACCTTCCAAACACATTGTTTTAGCAATTACATTCACACACTTTTTATCTTTACACAGACACTATGATTATCTAAAAAAAAAGTATCTTACATATAAAGTCATCCAATTTTACTGTTATATCATGTAAAGACTGTGGAAATACAGGTGTGATTAATAATATATCGACATGTTTATTTATTTCTATTAAATAAGATAGCAATGGATTTTCATCCTACAAGACTTACCGCTCGATTACCTTTTGGACGGATGAGATAGCTTTCCTGGAATAACAATACATTCATAAAAATCTGTCTTATAAATTTGGAACTTACCTAATTTTCCTGTAAGGTGTTAGCCGCAATTTAAAAATTATTAAAGTATTTAAAATATATTTAGTCTAATCCTGTATATTGAAAATTTGTTTTCAGGCACATTCGAATAATTTCGACAATGAACATTTAAACGATATCAAAGAGGAGATGCCGTTATCCCTATTTTCCCATATTCGTTGAAACACATAACATCCTTCCTCCAAAATATCTCGTGGAATATTAAAACACAACTGATCACTCACGATGGAAATAATACAACAAACCATTGCACACGATCTCATGCGTTATAAAATAAGACCCTATCTGACATCAATGACATTATAAGAAAAAAAAGACCACATCCTTCAAATGTTAAGAAACAAATTTGGCAACCACACAGCGGAGATCGACGATGGTTATTAAAAAACTCCATACGCATAATGATTTGAGCACGCATTAAATATTTCGTTGGCGATTGCGGCAAAGACCAGAGCATAAAATATTCACTACCACTTACCATAGAAGTTATAGTCAATCATGGCAGTATTTGTTTTTTACTTTATATAAATTCACTTGAAATACAGAATTTTACAATCATTCAAACTAGTTCTCAATAAATATGGAAGATACACTCTCGATGCTACAATAAAATAAGAATCAACCACAATGTTAGAGACGAAATACCATATTACCGTACATAGTTGTAACTTTCCCCAAAACCTGTTAATCCACCATTTCAATCAATCGTAAAATTGTTAACCATCTTCAGAAGAAGAAAATACCACATATAACTTGATAATTCGAATATTACTTTAACGATGCGTCTCGGTGGCCATTGATGAAGGAACAAATTGATACCAAAGCTTGATACCAAATTTCAAGCAAATCATTCCTTCTTGAAACATATTCATCATAGAGGAATAGAAAACCACAATCACCTGAAAAATATCTCACCTGCGATGTAAACAAATATTCACATCTCACAAATTATGAAGCTTACACAGATCTCAAAAGTAAGCAGGGAGTTCTAATATCTAGAGGTACAGTAATAAAATTTTTCAGCAGAAATTTCTGCTTAAGTGCAATACATTTGAAAAAAAAAACTTGCTCTAGGTAAATGTATTGCACATATAAAAATAGCAGAAACGATATTCTCTATGCCAATGCATGTCCATATCTTAAACCTGCTTAAAGTATAAAGAATCACAACAACACAGAAATAAAACACAACGACCAGCATATTTTTTGTAGTCAAAACGGATTTGGATTTTATTCAATCACTGTCATGATGTCGTGGTTATACAAGAGTGTTATACAATGCGCAGAATGTTCCTCGAGATCTACATGGCGAGAGGAAATATGTTTACCAAAGAATATATTTATAAAATTAGATGGAAAGTATCTATTCGATTTCTTAAACATCGAAAGTTATTAAAAAATGTTTGTTCTTTAGTCAAATATTTCGTATTTTTTGGTAAACATATTCTTGATGCACAATATGTAAGACAAATTCTGCCAAATTTAGGGTATAAAGTCATCCAATGTTCGTTCGCTGAAGTCTCAAAACGAGTGAACTGGAAGGGACCTTCCTAATGACAACTAAAATTTTGTATGCTCTACTACACTTGAATCTCCAAGTTACTAAAACGATGTGGCGCGACGAGTAAAAGATCAGATCGCAGAACTACAATGAAAACAATACAGTCCCCTGTTGAGCCATGATGTATCTTACTATGTATTAGATACAAGAATAGAGTGCGACCGACACCACAGACAAATCGACACACGTCCACGATCTGTGTAGGATTGTGCATGAAAGTATCTATCATACATGGATAAACTTTAACTCGTAAAATCCGTAACAGCTATATCGCGTTAGTATTTATGCTTGAAAGATTAATCTGTCCCTGATCGATAAACCACTCCGCGAACGACCAAATCGTCATGTTCAACCGGAATGTGGGAGAACTGATTGATCTCTCGTCGTGAAAACTAAGAAATAAACTTACAAGCTACATTTGATAATTACTGTAAATAGCATAAACCTACATACTGAAAAACCTACAGATTACGTAGAACATTATGAACCTAAATCTAACAACTAAACTATGTGTCGATCACTCGAAAAGATTGATTTTGGAGTGAACAATTAGTAGACTTCCACTGTAAAAAGGAACGATAATCTGGTAAAAGAATTTCGAATGAAACAGTCGTAGCAAGGAAGGGTGATCATCGGCAGCCAATGAGTGTTTCAACGTTGAAGTAGGCATAAAACACAACTGTTGATCTTCCAACGACAGATACTTCTCACCCACTGTCCTAAGTTCTGCCACACAACTAGGATGAATTTCAAGTATTGTCATCAGGAGTGGAACAATCCTGCAGACGACATACGAACACCCAGTCTCCTCTCGCTGCACCAATAAGTTATGGTTAAGCGTCAAACTCTGCAGAGGTTCTCTATTAATGTTACCTTGAGTGTATTTTCCAGCATTTAGTAAAGGCGAACATCAATCGTTCTACCGTCGATACGTGACCGATTCATCATAGCTATATACATAAATAATTAAGGAAAATTTTGTATAAAATTGAACCTTTTACAAAATTCATATTTTCACTATCCATTTGAATATACAAAAATAATTTGTACTATTAGTATATTCTTTGAAAGGATACACACAGCACGTTCAGCATCCCATTCGGATGCAAATCGTACCATGCCCATATCAGTTCCTCGCATTTCAGCAAATTTCACCTCTCCAACATCTTGGAATTTGTCCCGTAACATTTGCCATGTTGTGTTTGGTGGGAGCTATACAATTATTTTTATACATATAAGCAAAGATATACCAAAAAATGATAAGTAATTTTCTTATGTACAATAAGAAAAAAAGAACATACATTTCCTATAAGAATAGAGTCCGACATTGGCCGTGAACCATTTGTATTTTGTCTGTTGCCACCTCCTCCTTGACCTTGATTGCCAGCGAAACCACCACCTCCGCCAGGAACACGATCGTTGTCTCCTCTGTTGAATCCACCATCAAAATCTCTGCCACCACCGAAGTTAGAACCACCAAAAGCATTGTTTCCACCGAAGCCTACATCATTGTCCATTTTAGATAAGCCTCGCGGCGCAAACGAATTGTTGCTTTGTCCACCAGCTAAAGAGGCTTGTAAATTAGACAAACCTCCAACTCCTCCGCCGAAATTATTTAAGTTAGAAGCCAACTCATTTGTTAACGACGAATTCAGCAAAGAACTCGTAGTCAGGTTAGCGCTCAAACCTCCAGCGAGACTTGCTTGAAGAGCTGCTGCATTTGTATTCGTCAACGCCGATGCTATAAAGGTATAAATGTATTTGTTAGATTTTTTATCTACTTTATTTTACATATTATATTTATAAGAAGACTCACCCAACTGGGCTGGCACAACATTGTTTAAACCAGCTCCAAAGGCACCAGCAGCCAGTACAGGAGCGGAAATAGGATTCACAACAGGTGGATTATTTGCCTGTACGTTAGGAATGTTTCTAGCTACATCCATTAGTCTATTACCACCAGCTCCAAGTCCCATTCCAATTCCCTTTAAACCTGTTTTACCATTAATATTAATTTTTATATTGCTTTATTTATATTGAAATAATATATTTCTCATAAACTAAGCATACCTTCTGGTAATTTTGGTGGCATGTCAGGTTCATTTGCTCTATCAAGCCTAACAGTCATACGTCTATCATAAAGCTGCTGGTTGTGAAGCATTGATATAGCTTGTACAGATTCTACTGGATGATCATATTCTACAACTCCAAATCCTCGTGATTTTCCATCTTTATCTTTTCCTAATTCAACATGTAGTACTTTACCAGCTAATTTAAATACTTCCAATAATTTCTTTTCATCCACTTTGTAGTCAAGCTAAATGAGGTATCCAATTTATTTTTATATTTTTATGTTATTTGGAAGTTTACAACATTTTGTAATATAAAAGGTACTTACATTTGCTACAAATACTCTAGTAACTAAAGGTCCATTAATACCTAAAGATTCTAAAAACTGAGTACTTAGACCATAGGTATTTCCAAATTTACTATCTCCACCACCACCACCGCCACCTCCGCCACCACCACCGCCGCCACCACCACCACCACCACCAGCAGGAGCATTCATGTTTTGACGACCACCACCTTGTGGTCTTGGTGGATCCCTAAATCTATCATCACGAACTCTTTCATTGTTACGAGCTGTTGCCAGACGACCATATTTATCTCGTTCAACATCAAAGTCCTAAAATAAATAAATATTATAAAATATATCTTAATCATGGATTATATTAATAATTGAAATTGTAAGGAAGTTGAAAAAATAACAATATACTAACTACCTCTTTGACGACTAGCTTTCTTCCCTTAATATCATAACGATGCATTTTTTCTACAGCAATTTTTACTGAGTCTGAATCTTCAAATTCAACAATACCACAACCTCTTGGTTTGTCATTTTCATCAGTAAAAAGTTCTACATGAGCAACTTTCCCAACTTCTGTTCTGAATAAATCTTTAAGATCTTGCCAACGAAAATCATAGGGAATGTTTGATACATAAATTCTTCGATCTGAAGCTTTTCGTCCACCACGATCATTTCGTTCCCTACTACGATCACGACTTGTAGAATTTATACGGTTTTGTCGCTCTGATCTCCTATTACGATCACGTTCTCTACTTCGATCCCTTTCATCATTATTCTGCACTTGACTCCTAATATTTAATACGATTATGTAGAAATAACATGTGTAAAGGCAAACATGTTCTATTGTTGCTTGTTCGTATATCAATATATTTTCTATGTGTTCTTTAATGTATAACTTATATAAAGGTTAACTAAAATTGCGCAATAAATAAATATTCATTCAAAGAATTCATATTGTCGATATGTTGAAAATGTGTTAGCGTCGGTTTACATTAATTGTACATAATTTTCCACGCCGACAAAGAACTTACAATGAACTATTAAAAATATTAATTTTATACTTACTCTTCTTGTTTGATCATCGTAGAGGCTTCTACCACTCAATAAACTAATTTACCTAAAGAAATTATCTTAATGCTCGTAGTTAAAAGACACTAAATGACAATGAACATAAAAACGTACGCGATCACGAAGCGTCTTATAAAATGGCCGACCGAGGAAATGCTAAACCGTACCGGAAACTACGGTATTCAAACATAGGTTTCTACTTCAAAAGATACAAATAAAGATATGAAAATCGTTTGATTGTAATGTTTTGATAATTATTTCGCTGCTGTCACATTACATTGTAATCGTAAATTATATTCTTTTAGTTTAAAGAATATTATACGTTCTGGATATTTAATTTTAAACCTAACTCGATTAAAAATTTTCGGACTTAAATATTAGATTTAAGAAAAATTATAACTCAATTTCTAACCAATCAAAATTCTCACAGTAAAATTCAATATATAAATTAGATTCTTTTAAAATGTTATAAGAATGTTTATTTCTTGATATTTTTATTGTGCTAGCTTATTATCTTAAAAAATTGTGTTAAAAAATTGATTAAATGATGGAAATCATTAGGAACAAATTTTTCCATTCATCCTTAGTCATTATCTTGTAAATCAAAATGTCGGTATATGTGGAGCCACTCGTCGTGTTCTATATGTCGTCCGCTATGTTCCGTTTCCGAATAGCAGAAGACATCGTTTCGCGGGAACCAATCACGAGTGTGATTCATCTCTCGTTTTTGGTGTTGCTTCTGACGTGCACAACTACTTTGGGTGGTGGAAGTTCGTGTTTTTATTGTAAATTTTACAAAGAGAATGGCAGCACAGTGGATACGAAATGCAGTAAGTAACATGTCTCAATCAAGAAATCTTAGAAACAATCAATGTCCCGCAAGTAACTTTACTTCTTTCCAAACGATAAGGTTAGAATTCTTCATAGATGAGTTATATGTCTTTCTGCTGGGGTGTAATATCTTGGCAGTCTATCTCCTATCCTTATATCATTCATAGTTTTTCTTTCTTTTTTTAATATCATACAATTTCTCAATATCACCTTTGTACTATGATTTCTTATGAAATATGGTACTATTCCGTGCACGTTTTTCTTAACAGTTATTAATTATATTGATATTTAATTAACAGGTTCCGAAAATCGGCAGTGTCCGTTTTTATAGTAGTAAAGTTCACAAATGTACCCTTATTCCGGGAGATGGTATAGGACCCGAAATTTCTCTCGCTGTTCAAAAAATTTTTGATGCTGCTAAGGTAAAGTGACTTTGATAAACAATTTTATAAAATATTGATTTTTCTCAGCACGATATTTTTTATATAATATGCATGCTTCCTTAGTTGAATGGAAATGTATTGATAATGTGTATTTACTTTGACATTTCTGTTACAATTTTTGTACAGTAGATATATCATATCTTGAATACTTGTTTTAATTTTTGTATTGTTTGTAATTTGAACCTTACAAGGTGACCCTATATGTCCTACTACTAACCTTAAGGAGTTTATTTTAATCTTACTCTTATACAGGTTGATCCAATTGTAGGCTAATTCAGTCTATTCTTATTGTAGCTAAGGTATGTTTTTTTACTTTGTATATTTTTTATAAACATACAATGTTTGCTATGTAAATTTTAACTGAGTGCATGACATTATTAAATTATTTTTATGTATATAGATATGTAATGATAATGTATACAGTAGTTAAAATGTTAAAAAACATCAGTGTATAGCTTTTTAGCATGAATTAAGAAAACTTTAATAGTACCACTCATATATCATGTATTGCATAACACTGTTACTCAACTTTCAGTATTTATATGTATGTTAATGCATGCCTATATATTTTATTGTTTTATATGACAGCATTAACAAAAATGAATGTGTTTAATGTTAAATAAGATTATATCAATACATTTTCAATTTCTTGATATATATTTATGCTTATGGTATGATCTTAAATATTAGGTTCCGATAGAATGGGAATCTGTAGATGTAACACCTGTAAAAGGTCCAGATGGAAAATTTGGTATTCCTCAGGCAGCCATTGATTCAGTTAACAGAAATAAAATTGGTTTAAAAGGACCATTGATGACACCTATAGGAAAAGGACATAGATCTTTAAATCTTGCACTAAGAAAGTAAGTCATATTTTTATCTTTGTATAATTAACAAAAGTTAAATGCATCTACTTTAAACATCTACACGTATTATCTTAGTCTTAATATATTTATCTTGAGTTGTTTGAGTTACATAATCATAAATGTTATTGTAAACATATAATAATTTGAATTTGTTCAGATTGGTTTGTACGAAGATTTAAATGTATAAAAATGCATTTTTATAACAATGTACTATTATTTTCTTTTTTAGAGAATTTAATTTATATGCCAATGTTCGACCATGTCGTTCTCTAGAAGGTTACAAGACACTGTATGATAATGTTGATGTTGTCACTATTAGAGAAAATACAGAAGGAGAATACTCTGGTATAGAACATGAAATTGTAGAAGGAGTTGTACAGTCAATTAAATTAATTACAGAAGAAGCTTCTAGCCGAGTAGCTGAATTTGCTTTTCAGTATGCCCAGGACAATAATAGGAAAAAGGTTCATACTTTATTCATAGAAAAGTAAATTTAAAAAAATCTTTTAACTATTTAATAATTTTTTTCATAGGTGACTGCTGTACACAAAGCAAACATAATGAGAATGTCAGATGGTTTGTTTTTAAGATGCTGTAGAGAAGCTGCACAAAAATTTCCTTCCATTAAATTTGAAGAAAGATATTTAGATACAGTATGTTTAAACATGGTTCAAGATCCCAGTCAATATGATGTACTTGTAATGCCTAATTTATATGGTGATATTTTATCTGATATGTGTGCTGGACTTGTAGGAGGACTTGGTCTTACACCAAGTGGAAATATTGGTTTAAATGGTGCATTGTTTGAATCTGTATGTATACAAAATTGTTTAACATTTTTTTTCAAGTACGATAGTATATAATTTAATAATAACATCTTAAAATAGGTGCATGGAACTGCTCCCGATATAGCAGGTCAAGATAAAGCAAATCCTACAGCATTATTACTCTCTGCTGTTATGATGCTTAAATATATGGGACTAAATGACCATGCAAGAATTATCGAAAATTCTGCTTATGAAACTATTAAAGAAGGCAAATGTTTAACAGGAGATCTGGGTGGTACTGGAAAATGCAGTGAATATACTGATGAAATTTGCAAGAAAGTTTCAACATTAACGAAATAGATAATGTAAAATTTATTGGATATAAACTGCCAAATACTCGTAGAAATAATACATTTGAGATAAAACTGTTGTTTTTGGACATCTCTGTAATTATTGTTTTCAAAATTATCTTCAATGTACTCAGGATGTATCTGTAATTTAGTCAAATGAATTGCAGAGGTTTTCAATGTAGGCAAAGGATGTCTTGTTCATCTATACACACTCATTTAGATAATTTTTGTTGAGAACTTCAACTAGTTTATTATAAAACTTAATGTTACTCAACTTCGTGGATTTGTTAATGTGTAATAGCATTTAATACGATTTTTTTTGCAACAAGAATATGCGTCGACTATTCGCGTGTGTTGACTGAATATACATATATGTATGTTTGTCATACTGTATCATAAAAAAAGGATTCTAATAGAATCTGCAAAAATTAGATATGTACATTAATCTAGGAACCGTGTATAATACTTCTAAATGAAGTTGTTAATGATATGTACCGCGAAGAAGAGTTTCAAGAAATAACATTGCGCAGTATTAAATATAAATAAAATATTATAAATTCTAAATGCTGTTAATTATTTTATCTAAAGTTTATATATGTCGTTATAAAAAGCACGTTACTTAAAACGAATAATTTCTGTAAGAATGTAATTGATTATATTTTGTTCTTTTATCTATAATAATATTTCAATCAAAGATTTAAATTTAAATTAAAAGATTACAAATTTTTTAGTTATGCTAGTTTTTATTAATGATGACATACGAAAACTGTAAAAAAATAATTTCTATCGTATCAATGTTATATAGTTTTATCCCTTGTGGTGTTATGTTCTAATGCTTGTTCTGAACCACTTTATAATTTCCCTGTTCCCCTATCCTTTCCTTCATAGTGCAGTATGCTTTTAGGGAAAACTTCCAAGTATGAGAAAAGTTGTCGGCTATATTTCACTGGCGAAGGAAGAGAAAGGGATGAGGAAAGATCCGGTGTCATCTTCGTTGCTCGTTAATACTTTTTGTGATTTATCGGGATTCCTCGAGTGAGTAATGACTGACCCCTTGTAAATTTTTCATATTAGATTCCATGTTCAACTATGATATATAGAACGACGATATTTTCCGTATAACTGATATACATTGATCTTTTTTTAACCTTTTAAAAAATTGACAAGAAAATTTTCTCATTTTTTTCAACACGATTAAGAAAACTTTCCTATCTAAGAAGTTAGAATGATATTAACCAAGTTTTTAGGAATTGGTTACTATAATTGAAACAAAAACATATTAAACTTCTGTCTGTTAATTCTTTCTTAGTACATTGAAATTTCTTTGAACGAGCAATACATCGATCTCCAAGTAATCGTTTAACGACGTAATGTTTTTAAATCAAGATTAACGAGCGCGTTGACAATCTAACAAAGAGGGTGCAAGTCCTTCGGGTCACCGATTTAGTTGAAACTTTGCAGGTTTGTAGATATCGTCATGCAGTTTAAAAAAATATATTATTATAGCCGCAATTACTCAATAGTTATTGAAATATTTACGATTGAAGTTTAATTACTACTGTAATTATAAATTTATTTCTAGGAGATTTCGAGTGGAGTAGTGGCCTAACCGCGTCAGTTGAGAATTCCAATGTTGGAGAACCGGGTTTGATTCCGATTGATAGTTCAGCAGTAGTTTTTTTCAATCTATTTTTTATTTTGTATTCATTTTTCGCCTATGAAAACATTGTAAATAAACAATTATAAATAACATTTCTTAATAAAAAATTTATTTTTTACACTTTCTTATGCTAGTATATATTTATTACAAAATAATAAGAATATTATGCAAGAAAAACAGTTTTCTATAACAATCTTATTAACTACTAACTGATTATTAAATTAAACATCGTATAAGAATGTTGCCTATAATTCCAACTTTGTTGTGTAGCTATAAATGTTCATGAATTAATTACAGAAATTTGGAAATTTATTAATTTTCTACCGACGTATTGATTTCTAGTATCTAGTTCGAATAAAAATTTTACCGCCTGCGATCAGCGCCATCTATGATTTTAGCTCATTTGCTCGAAAAAGTGATAGGAATATAGAATAGGCAAGGAGGTCGTCGAAGAGCTCGTCACGTGACAGACAAGGACAGAGAGTTAATAGAAAAGGATAGTATGGCTCCGGCAGTGAAAAATTATTAATTACTCAATTTCTGTAATTAATTTATGAACTTTTATAATTTCATTGCAAAGCTGGAACTTCAGGCTACATTCTTATACAATATTTGTAAAGAATTTAACTCTAAATTGTTAGTTATTAATTTTTGTTTGATGGCCTCTATGATTTCGTAACGACGACCATCACGATCTTCCTTGAAGACATTTAATGCTCAACGAAACTAGAAACAAAATGTGAACAAAAGTGATATGAGAAGATTCGCAAGAACATTGTCTTTCTAATGAGTGCATAAAGCTTCATAAATTAATTGCGTAAGGTATAGTAATTAATGAAAAATAGATGGCGCTGATCGCAGGCGGTAAAATTTTTATTCGAACTAGATATTAGAAATCAATACATCGGTAGAAAATTAACAAATTTCCAAGCTTTTGTAATTAATTCATGAACATTTCTAGCTACACAGCAAAGTTGAAATTATAGGCAACATTCTTATAGGATGTTTAATTTAATAATTAATACTTACATGACCGATAGGTTTTGTATTTCTTGTAGTAAACAAGATTGCTATAGAAAAGTATTTTTCTTACATAATATTATTATTTTGTAATAAATATATACTAGCATAAGGAGGCGTAAAGAATAAATTTTTTTCATTAAGAAACTTTATTTATAATTGTGTATTTACAATCTTTTCATAGGCGAAAAATAAAAACAAAACAAAAAATATATTTAAAAGAATTGTCAAAACTATGGACGGGAATCGAACCCCCGTCCTCCAGTATATCAAATCTCGATCGTCCATGATTTTACATCATCTCCAGAAATTCTCTAGACAATACATTTTCTACTTTGCAGTACATTTTAATAACTTTATTTACCTCATACTTACCTTATACTTACCTTCCGTTACTTGCAATTCCTCTTCTTACTTACCTTAATTCCTCTTCATTCAAATATCATTTTAAGCAGATATTGCCCACTCTCTATTTTCAAAGTTCAAAGAGAACTCTGAAAATTTACAAGAGATAGGAAATATCTTAAACTTTGTGCGTAGCTCTTAGCTTGGTATCGTTTTCCGAAAATTATTCTTTAGAAAACGATACCAATTACCAGGTCTCACCACGAGGAGGTGGCTACGCATCGAGACCCGACATGCGCCCTAGTGGCGCAGCCTACTGGTGCTATCTGTATCAAAAATAGCCTAGTCTAACTTGGAGCGAATTAAGTTAAAATGACTCTACTGACACATATTATATTTCGTGTCTTACAAAAGGGATTTCGGTTCGGTATACTGAAACTCTACTGTCGCAACGCTAAGATATTTTCAAGTTCCCATAAAAATAGGGAATGAAATATCAAACACGCGAGCAAATAGAAAATCGCGACGCGCCCGAACGAGTTCGCGATTATTCGAAAGACCGACTAGCCTAGGCGATGTACTCCCGTGTACAGAGATAACTTCATACCTCGGCACCCTCCCGATCGGGCCTAGCTCAATTCCAGTCACTGTCGCACTCGCCAAGACTTACACGTGGACCAAGGATAGTCCCTGAACCAATGAAACTTCTAGTGTCAACGCGAGGGCCCTGCTGGGCGGTTGCCGGCCAAGACAGACACTTCGCATCCCAGCCACACGGGGTAGAACTTAATCATCCCTGTGGTCTAACCGTAGATGGTACTAGTCCGTCAGCCAGCATGTGCCCGAGCCCCAGTCGCGTACGACTTAGGCAGCGGACCGCCCCGTCGAGGTCAGAAGACGCACTGATCCGAGGGGGTCACCCTGGAACCCGATGCATGACGAGATTGACAGTGACTGGAAATGAGTGTCGGAGACGAGTCGTGAGGATGACTTACGAAGCATGTACTTATCGAGTACACGAGAGCACGTCGCGTAGGCTAGTCGGTACTTACGAACGATCGCGATTATCGCGAGAACAATTATGTTCTATTTGCTAAACGAGGGGGATAAGAAAATGATAGAGAATTTATAAATTTCGCTCCAAGTTAGGTAGCTTACCTTTGTACAGATAGCGCGCACATGATACTTAGTCTATGGATCTATCTTATGATTACTTAAAAGTAAACGCACGCATCGTTCATTGATGTGTCGCAAACAGAATCTTGAGAAACCTAAAAGCTAAAACAGAATATATTATTGTTAATATGTAGCTGAAAGGAAAGGGATTAGTACGAGGAAACCATCAAGGATAATAACCAAATGGAACGAGCAAGCCAACGACGAGACCTGAGCAACATAACTACGAGACAGAAACATTCCAACGGTGAGATATAAACATACCAACGAGGAAGCGCTCGAGTATTATACGAAATACTCGAACGCTCTAACGAAAACAAATCGAACGGAAGTCGTAAAATTTGTGAAAGGAAAGATTTAGCCAACGATGAGACATAAGTAAACCAACGACGAAGCATTCGAATATTATACGAAATACTCGAATGCTGAAACAAAGACACATAGAATGAAAAAAATAAAATCTGCAAGAAGAAATTATTGTTAAATTATTTAAGAGAGTGGACAATGGCCACTGAATAGCCATTGATCTAGCCAACGATGATATACAATACAAATAAACCAACGACGAAGCATTCGAATATTGTACGAAATACTCGAATGCACAAACAATGAAAACTAGAATGAAAGAAATAATATCTGAAAGAAGAAAGATAATTAAAACCTGAAAGAAAAAATAATTAGTACCTGAAAGAAGGAATTATTATTAAATTATTCAAGAGAGTAGACAATGGCCATTGAATAGCCATTGATCAAGCCAACGATGATATACAAATAAACCAACGACGAAGCATTCGAATATTGTACAAAATATTCGAATGCACAAACAATGAAATCTAGAATAAAAGAAATAGAATCTGAAAGAAGAAAGATAATTAAAAGCTGAAACAAAAAATAATTAGTACCTGAAAGAAAAATATTAACGCGACCCCCCCGAAGTCGAAGCGACAACTGGCTCGAGCCTGCACGCGGGCCCCTTATATAGCGGCGGCCGGGCGAAGATCAGCGAAAATTTCCGAACTTTACCGATTCCATTAAAAGTTACTTTTCCGCTGTAATAACTAATAATTTATTAACTTTTTTGGCTTTTATCTTTAATATACTTTGCAAACTATTTGTTATCAACAATATTAATTTGTTATTAGCAATAAATTTATCAATTTATTAACTTCTTGTAAGTTCCGAATATATTCTAACACAAATACG